GTCAGTCAGTCAGTCAGTCAGTCAGTCAGTCAGTCAGTCGGTAAGTAAGTAAGTCAGTTAGTCAATCAGTAAGTAAGTAAGTAAGTAAGTAAGTCAATCAGTCAGTCAGTCAGTCGGTAAGTAAGTAAGTCAGTTAGTCAATCAGTAAGTAAGTAAGTAAGTAAGTCAATCAGTCAGTCAGTCAGTCAGTCAGTCAATAAATAAATAAATAGCATTTTATTTTGCCCTTACCCTATCATTCTGTCTGTTTAATGCTGCCTTCCTTTCATTGTTCTTTCTCGTCAAATATGAAATGTGTGTCTTTATTTTTTATTTTCATTTGTTTGACATTTTCTTCTCTCAGATTTACGTAAAGAGGCCAGACAGCTGGAGAATGAGCTGGACCTCAAGCTGGTCTCCTTCAGTAAGCTGTGCACCAGCTACAGCAGCAGTACCCAAGACCAGCMCACAAGAACCAGGTAGCAGATTAATTTAACTACAGTATAACTGTACGTAGATTACATAGTAGTATAATTATACAATAATATATTACTACTGTACAAATGCACTCCAGTTCAAATATTTAAAACATGTTTATRTTTTTAGACTTTGGAAAACATTGTTATAGTATCTCACMAAAGTGAGTATACCCCTTACATTTCAGTATATATTTTATTTTATCTTTTCATGGTACRACACTGAAGGTATGACACTTTGATACAAAGTAAAGTTGTCAGTGTACAGATTGTATAACAGTGTAAACTTGYTGTCCCCTCAAAATAACTCARCACACATTAATTAATGTAGAAACCTCTGGCCACAAAAACAAGAGGTATACTCATGTTTGTGAGACATCATTACCAAGTAGTGATTATAATTTAACTTTTGGGTTTTTTACACTTTAACCAAATACAAGTAGCACAAAATGTGAGTATTTTACACTTTTAACACATGTCAATATGGCCATTAACTAAGAGTTAGAGTAACAAGTAGTTATTTTTGCTTTCTATTTGAAATGATTAAGTTGCACCTCTGTACTCTACAGTTTGTTTGACATAAAATGCTAAAAWTGAACTTTAACGATGGTTGTCGTGTTATATCAGGTCAGATTCTTTTGGTCCATCCCATGATAACATGGTCGTAGCCATGACAACTGAAGTGGAGCACCTCTTGTCCAAAGTAGGTTAAACTGTCCTGTTTCTTTTAATATAGCATTAGTGTGAGTTATGAAAGGTTTCTTGTTACGTCAGGTGTTAGAATTACAGCTCAGGATCATCATTGTGTTATTTTTGTTGTTCCATTCGTTGATCTTTATTTGTTGCAGCTCAGTGTGGTCAACGACAGTATGGCAGAATACACAAACACACCTGGTGCTTCGTCACACAACGCGGCATTAATGCACACCTTACAGAGACACAGAGACATTTTACAGGTACTCATGGCTTCATCTTCACTCTGTAAAGACTTTCAGGACCTGGAGTGTGACTTGTTCCTCACGCTGTTCTCCTCAGGACTACACACACGAGTTTCACAAAACCAAAAGCAACTTCTTCACCCTGCGAGAGCGAGAGGACCTGCTGGGCTCCGTCCACAGAGACATTGAGTAAGCACTTTTAGACACAAGCACTATAAAACACATTATGTACTCTGTGTWTTTCAAATCTAAAATAACAAACACYGCTGATGGATAATAAAAGAGTRAAACATTTAYAAGTCCAGTTTTAGACTTGCATACCTGGCAATTCTGAGCTGCAGTTAACAATTCCTTTCAGATAGTCCTCTGTATCATTTTCAGCTGTAAATACTCTTTGAGACCAAGGAGTGCCTCACTGATGGAAAATGTTGAGTTCGTGGTCATTTTCAAACTTATATCAGTTAAAACGTAGTTTTTGCCGGGAGAAGTTCAGTGATTCCCAAAATCTGAAGAGCCAAAGCTCATCGTCMTTTTTACTCATTATCATGTTTGTTACAAAGGAAATGTGACTGCTCTAAAACTGCACCACTGTGCCAAACTTAACCAACATTTCAGAGTGAAAACAATCATTTTAATGGGAAGTTGTGACACTTTCCAGTTCCACTTGGGAGACCCCAGGGCGCTCCCTATCCAGAGAGGATACATAATCCCTTCAGCAAGTTCTGGGTCCTTCTTGTGGTCTTTTCCCAGTGGGAWAKGCCTGGAAAACCTCCAGGAGGCGATGCCTTAACCACCTCAACTGACTCCTTTAGCTGCAGAGGAGCAGCGGCTCTACGCTGAGCCCCCCAGGATGGAGCTCCTCACTTCAGCTAGGTTGAACCTGCCGACCCTGCAAAGGAAGTTCATTCTGGCCGCTTGTATCTGGGCTCTGCTGTCGGTCATGATCCACGCCTCACGACGTCAGCTGAAGGCTGGAACGTAGACAGACCAGTAAATCGATAGCTTTGCCTTTGGTTGGTTTATACATAAAAGTAATTGCTGGTTAGTGTTCTAGTTAAACAGGCTAATCCACTAATCATTTCAGCTCTTAAAGCCGTGCAGTTTTATTTTAAAATAA